TGCAAGCCACTGAAGTAAAGTGTCACAACATCCTCCATACTGTGCTTTGTATAGCACTTTGTTCAGCAGCGTGCTTAAGGACTGTTACTTCAACCTCATTCATCTGCTAGTTACCATTTAGTTAGTGAAACCATACTTGTCTGATCCCCATCATTATAGAGGTGTATTGGAAAATCACAAAGTAGGAAACCATGCATTTTGTTTCTGGTTTGGAATTAAATTTGCATTTATGAAAGACATTCTTGACTGATAAATACACAGCAACAAATCATATGAGCATGGTATTTTCCTTTCCTCAAGTTTCTAAAAAGTGTATAATATGTCTAGTTGAATCAATTTGTCATTTGGCTGTCCAACCGTTGTTTGAAGTGCACAGAAAATTGTTTACGTATGTGAAAGAAAATGTAAGGGGTCATTTGGAAGCTGGAAAAGGAAATTAAGTTTAAGTTGCTCATTAGCAACCCACTTAAGAGAAATTTACCCCAGGTTCCAATTTACAGATTTAAAGCCAGTGGAAAAGCAAAAATTCTTGAGCAATTTTGCATGGAAAATCCTAAACAGTGGTTCAATCAATTCTTTCAGGTGACTGATTTATAGACTCCATTGAAAGTTGAGTATTCTCAAACGTTAGATTTAAATGAGCCAAAGTTCTAAGTTATTTTGATTTAAATTTCTGTCCCACATATGTTTAGTTAAACGGTTTCCTTAATGGAATGAATGGAAGCATAAAAATGAGAGATGTAGCATATTGTGGTTGAACATTTTTAATTGTGATTTGAAATTGTAGTTTATGATGAATATTTTATGTTTATCAGGTAAGTCCTCCCAACGTGAAAGGCGCTCTATAAATGGAATCTTGTTGTTGTTGTTGTAAGTATTCCACAGTAGTTTTTTTTACAGGAACCGTAGAAGTTCTTTTTACACAATTTTTTCTGCAATTTCTGAATTTAACTGAACATTGCAGGCTTCATTTCACAGCAAATAAGGCATGTTAATACTCCTGCCTCATGTACAGTGGTGCACATGCAACATACAATGCCTTAATGTCGAAAGAAAATATTACATTCAAGATAATTATACACCTCATGTATACATACACCTTGTTAAAATCAAAACTAAATTATTTGCTGCTTGTGTATGAAAGATTTCTGCTCCATACAGGTGTAATTGTATAACTTAGTATTTAAGAGTTTCAGATAATTTTTTCACTTGGGAGCTGCTGTCCACAGCCAGTCACTCGTGTTGTCAATCAATCACACTCTGACATTCCTGTCAAAACATTTCAGTAGTGATACGGTGGCATTTAAATGACAATTACAACATTTCAGATTACCTTTTTACAAACGGTTATGAAGACATTTCTTTTTAACTCTTTTATAGACGAACTTAAATTTGGTGCTTTTGATACTCCTTTTTCATTGAAGGGTTTACTTAATGTACTTAATATTCATAAAAGATGAACAGAATATGAAATGAGCTTTTGGCAGAGGGGGGTGTGGGGTTGAAATTGCAATTGTGAAAGATTTTGATATTCCATCGAGTACCATATATTACATTGAATTGTCACGAAGCATTACATGGCAATTGAGGGACTGCATGGGTCACTAAAGAACTGAGAGCAGAAGTGGCTTGCATACTGCTTCATTCACCTCTAAATTCCTTGTATTTCTTGCTCATTGTTTGCCACTCAGATTGCTGAATGCTTAAAGACATTCTTGTATGTGAAAGGTGCTGTATAAATACAAGGTTGTTGTAAGAACTGTATTGCTAAGCATACAGTGTAGTGCTTTGACTGCAGGTGAAAGAAAATAATATGATATTTAACAATTTTAAATTCATATTTGGATCAATGTTTATACTATTGTGATCCTGTCCAGTGGTATTCAATTAATAATAAACGTTGCATTTGATGTAGTGTTTTATCATGGCTACCAAATACCTCTGCTTGTCAGGGTTTACTGTAAAATTTAGTGACGGTATTTGTAGGCAAATTGGCAGCTGACAGAGAAGAGTCTCTTGTTGTTTTTGTCTATTCTACAATATTAAGTGATGCAGATATACATTGCATCTTATGGTTCAACTAGCTACTGGTATTGAAGTCCGAAATTTTCTCCAGTTGATAAGGCAACACATCCAATAATAATAATAATAATAATAATAATAATAATCCTTGCATTTGATATAGCGCTTTTCACGTCGGGAGGACGTCCCAAAGCGCTTCACAGAACATACTGTAAAGTGAATTGACTGTATATTTGTGGGCGAACGCGGCAGCCAATTGCGCACAGCAATGTCCCACAAACAGTCGTAGATTGTAAATGACCAATTTATTATTGTTTTTGGTTTTGGAGGGATTATTATTAGGCTCTGTGTGGAGTAAGGAAACTTGCCCAAGGTTTCGCCCTCTGCCTGGAATTGAACTCCGGTCTCTCACTTGCAAAGCGATGTAGAGGCAACTCAATACATTCAAGAGATTGTTATTCAGATTTCAATATCAACACCTTCCACTTTAGTATTGAACTTAGCAGTAATATTTCAAGTCAACTTGAAAGGCTGTAGTTTTTTTTCAGACAGCACATACTACCTCCAGCTCTGTAGTTGATCAGCTTTCATTGTCATTGGAGTAAATGTCATTAAATAGGACAATGAAAGCCCCCAATAACGTATGTGTAGAGGTTCGGCATCTTACTCAAAATAAGATCAGGGAAATCTGAGGACATGATTATAAGATAAAGGACTCAATTTGACTTTAGTTTAAGGAATAAAAGAATGTTGTAGGTGTCAATGTATGGAATACACGACCACCAAATGTAATTACTGAGTCAATTGAATAATACATAAGGGAATTGGATCAATTCTGATTCAAGAGGGAATAAAGGAATATAAAGGTAGGAAAAAGATGCCATTAGTCAGATCAAGTCCTAGGTTTTTCTTATTCCTATGTCAGTCCTCACAGTTCGTGATATTCTGAGAACAATTAAAACTCTGGACACTGTAATTTTCTGGACAAAGGATTTAAACAAAAACAATGACCGGTAAGGGTTAGCAATCCCATGAATGTAAAATGCTGTTTTGATGTATTCTGTTTGAACCAATGTAATAATCTGCATTTCACCATGTCATTTGGACAGAATAGGATTAGCCAGGTAAATTAAACTGAGGAGACATGAGGGCCAAATCAGTGACTTTTTCACTGTGGCTCAGATTCCAAAATATTTGCTCTATTTCAGACTCATTACAGTGCTTTTTCTTTTGTGCTTATACTCATGACCCCTGTGGCTGATTGTGGATTTTTCTTAAAGCTACATGACTAATGCTTTGTTCCCTCAGTCTAGCACTGCCACTTTTATAATGGCAAGCATCTCTTGAAGCCTAACATTTGAATTTTCATTGTATTAAAGGTCAGGAATAGGGTGCAGAACAAAGTGGATTTACTGTGTTTGCATCTGTTTTGCAGCTGTTTTGGTATCTCCTCTAACCTCTGCTTCAGCCACCCTTCTCATATCTTCTATTAGATCTAATAAATCGGTTCTGTCATTACACAGATGTTGCACAGTTAGGGACATTCAACTTGTTTTTGAATGATTGTTCAGGGTGCTGGCACAGTCATGATATGCTTCACAGCATATGCATAACATTTCTGCTTAAGTCTGATTTTTTTTCTCTCCTTGAATATTGCATCGGCAGAATTTTGAAAGGGAACGTGCAGATTCATTTGTGGTTTTCATAATCCCAAATTTGCACACTGTAGTGTCTCAGGAAATGCAGGAGATAAATGCCTGATCATGCTGGGTTCGCTTGGTTAACACTGTATATAGATTCATGGTCTCTGTTGCTTATTAAAGTATTCATTACTGCAAATTCTAGGCTTGAATTTCATTTTGGGGCTAATCTAGGGATGCCTTTAATTTACATTGAAATGTTAAAAATATCAAATGTAATTAAAACTATGTGCATTTTACATGACAATGGGATTTTTCTGGTTATTCGAAACCAAATATAGTATTCTAAAAAGAGTGCAAATATGCTTGTTTTTGCTTATTCTTTCCTATTGTAGGAATTGCTTGTTTTATTGAAATGGGTGAACTTTTAATCCTTTCATTTTAGCTGAGTTAATGTAATTCATGAAAAATACCATTTCTGCTTGTATGCTGCAATGATGTTTTCATGGTCCTTCTCATTTACCAGGCACGCCTGGCTTCTTTAAGACCAGTTGTAGACTAGTGCAGCCTTAGCATTGTTTTGCTTGGGGTCTTTATTGACTGAGCAGAATTTTTCATCGGGTTTTTATTTGCTAAAATGTAACTATTGCTTAGGGAGCATAGATATCAAAACACGCCTTACAAACAAAGTCTCTGTAGTTTAAAGTCGAAGGAGGAAGATGAAGAGATTTTGGAAGAGAGTTGGGGAAAAGTGGCTGAAAGCTTGTACATTATGTATGGGGCTGTTGTTGAAATGAACAGGGGAGTAAGACAGCAGGAGATTGCAACGGTAAAGTGGGGCAAGGCCGTAAAGGCAGTTGAGGGCAAGTCGGACGAACTTAGTCGATTTCCTGGGGACAAAGGCGCTAGGAATTTGTTCCAAGTAACAATTTGCAGCTATTGATTATCCGTGGTGTAAATAAATACTTCCTGATCTCTGTGCTAAAATTGCCCTTCAAAACTCAAGCATCTTATCTTACTGCCTTAGCATATCCGAAAGTCTTCTTCCATGATCAATTAACTCCTTCCTTTCAATGTATTGTGTTTTTCCATCTCCTTGTGTACGCTATACTGTATTTCTGTTCTGGATGTCACATAGGTATTGATGATCTGTCAGAATATTAAAACCAAACTTTATTTAGGCAATTTGGGCCATTACATAACACTACAATGTCTAAATAATTGCTGCGTCCTTCTGTTTAGTTTGTCTTAATGTTGTAATATCTGATCGGAGATGCAGATTTTGAATAATGATACAGATAGGATAAAGGCTTTCATCATCTTTTCCTTTTGTTTCAGTACATTTGGAGAGATAAAGACTTTGCGACTGCCTAAGAAAATGGGTGGAACTGGCACACACAGAGGCTTTGGATTTGTTGATTTTCTCACTCGACAAGATGCAAAGGTACTGAACTTCATAGATTAAGAACACAGTTCCTTATCTAAAGTTTTGCCACAAAACAAATAATTTCAGAACTTGCCTTTCCTAAGTAATTATTGAAGGTAGGGGAGTACTGTCTTATTCTTTCTACATTTTTTGCAAATAGAGTATAGAATTAGAAAATAGAGTATGATAGAGAATTCATTTTTAAATCACTATGCAATGACTTGTAATTCAACACTTAATTCTGAAGAAATAATTATAAAATCTATCTGAGAACAGCCAGCAGGTCATTTGAGAGTTTTTGGCAGACTTTCCATGGTTCTTACATTTTGAATTGCATTACAAATTCACCATATGAGTAAATTGGCTAGATATTTATGGTTTTAATACTGGAAATTAAAACTCTCATAAATATTGTTAAAATAACAATTTTTTTCAGAGGTCTTTTGACACGAATGGGTTAGTGGTGCTGAAATAGATTATTGTTGAAAAATTCCAACTGTGGGGCACAGCAGCTTTAATGATGTGTATGATTAACTAAAATATTTCTTGTATCTTATTGTGCAGTGTTGTATACCTGGGGCTTTCAGTAAATAGGACTGATACTGCTTGAATATGTGTTTCAACTTTTAACCATTTGTCACAGTGATGTTTTTGAGTGCCCAAAGTATATTTTTGCTGTTTGTTCAGCAGGCAATTGGTTAATGAAATGTTAGCTTCGTCTCACTGATATTTGAATATAACAGTTGGGTGAAAACTAGAATTGCAATCTGATCTGCAATTTTCACTTTCATGAAAAGATCAGCAGTTTTACACGTTTCCAAACAATGTCACACATGCATTTTATGAATTGTAAATTTATACTAAAAATACCAAAAAAGTAACAGATTCTCTTTTCTTTCACTTTTTCTACTTCCTCAGAACTAATAACCTAATCTATTGCCGTTTTACACTAACTTCATATTCTAAAAATTTTTATTTGGAATTGATCTCACCCTATATTCTACTAATTTTGAATTAGAACATGTATATCTCTTAATTTATAGTAACTGTTGATTGTAATACCTAGCTTACAAGACCACACTGCATATGGGAACGCTCTATATTTTGCAATACTGTCGTCACTGCAAGACAGTAAAGAAATTTTGTATTTAGGATTACTGTGGTATTTACACCAGAATGTGCCTGGAAATAATGACATATTGCCGACTGTGATGTATCCTCACCTTATTTAACAAATTGCAAGAAAAATGTTCGATTCATCTGTTTGGGTGCAAGCTTGTAAATAACATTCACAATACTGAATGGATCAATAGTTTAACAAACGTGTTTGGAAAGGGCCCATATCTAATCATTCGGTTTCATTTGTTATTGCAACATGCAGGATTAGCTTTTGTTCCTCTTCTGTGCAGTGTCTCTTGATCTAGAATAACTTGCTGGCAACATCTGGCTTAGGAACTAAGTCAATTTCAGATTGTTATTAGTACATTGAGAAGCTTGCAGTGGATTTGAAGCCGGCCTAAGTTTTAATTTGATGTGGTATACTGTGGCGATCTGGAGAGTCTAATTAAATTGCTGTCAAAGCCTGCTTGAAGAGCTGTAGGCCCTCTTCGAGCAGAACAGTTCCAGATTCCATGCTTCTTTTAAATTCTCTCTGTTAGTGTGACCATAGTTGTGCAAGAAAAAAAAGAAGACACAAATAGATAGAACTTGAACCCTGCATTAAGCAGCATCTGCTGCATTCAGCGATTTTTTTTCCCCCCCCCCCAGCAGCTTAACTTCACCAGTTTACAGACAGACCCATCTTGGCAAATACGATTAGATGCAACCTGATTGCCATTTGGAATGGGAGGTTTTCCAGACTGTTCACTAATGATGCCTCACAGTTTTTCTGGTTGTATTGTTCAGAATACTTGCCTCGTCTTTTACAGGTTCATGTGAAGCCACTTGGCAGTGGAAGCAAAATGCTGTATTATGACACTGAGCAGCTCTGCTGGCACAGTTTTATATGCTGCGTTTACACTTAGGGAGGTTTCCAATTAGCACAGCAATGTGTTGAATTAAATAAACACTTAGAAGGCAGCCATTTATAATTTAATTGCTGTTTACATTTGCACAAGAATTTCTTTTACAAATGATAAACAACTGTAATTGGCAGGGATACATTTTGGTAGTAATTCAGAAATATTGAAAGGTGTTTTCTTTCTGTTTTATAGAAAGCTTTCGATGCTCTTTGCCACAGTACTCACTTGTACGGACGACGATTGGTATTGGAATGGGCAGACACTGAAGAGACAGTGGAGGCATTGCGCAGGAAGACAGCTGAACACTACCATGGTAAACTCACTTCATATTTAAACCGGTCATATTTAAGTCTAACGCAATGTGGATATTCAGTACCTTGCTTTTTTTAATAAATCTGTAATAAGTATATTGTAGTATTTATGGTCAATATAAAATACCTTACTTTGAAAATGTGTGTATTTTACCACAAGCCCAGAGCTTTTACACACAAGGCAAGGTTTTACAATATGAAACAAGGGGATTAATTCCAGGTCCATAGCAATGCCTCTGATCTTGAGATTGTTCTCATTAAAAGTACTGTTTTATTCTATTTGCTTATTTGCAATTAAATCTATTTTAGTGCGATATCCATCATAACATGTATGTATATTCTTCTGGTGTGTTTAGTTTGATTAAATCTGCTGCTATATCTGTAGCCACAATTCTAACATGCAGCAAAACTGGTACTACAGCAAAATGATGGATGGCCTTTATGTTCAAAGCTGCATTCCAGCACCCTTGCACTTTCCCGGTCTCTAAAATAATTTACTTCTCTTTGATGTGATTGAGATCGTTCCTTTACGCCAACGTGCTTCTTGTCTACTGACATTGTGTTCCCAACAACCCTAATCACGATCGAAGGTTAAGTTTACTGTAAGTTTGAAAGTTTGGAAGACACAAAAAGTTTCAATTTCTTTCATTTGTGAAAAAACATTGAATAACTTTCTGTACGGCTACTCTTGGCTACATTCTGTATCAGCAAGTAAATCTGATAGTAATAACAGACATGTTCTCTTTGAAGAATCATAGTTGCGTGATTTTAAAACAAGAATTGTTAACATAGCACTTGTTTTATGGAGATCTAGCAAGCAGAATAATGTTTCGAAACCTTAATATTTTTATTTAAATTATTTTGTTTTTCATTTGGCATTTTTGTGTCATCTAACAAACATCAATACAAGCCTCTCGGAATTCAAATCCCACTGAAGCAGATGCTTACAGAGAGCACTTCCTGAAGACGGAGCTAAATTATTATTGACCACTTCTGGTGGTGGGCTGCCAACAGGCACCTGCAGACTCCTGCTAGGTGTAATGTGCAAACTATCATGGAGACGTTTTGCTAGCAGTATTGATCAAAGCTTCAGTGCACAGGATGAGAATATGATATGCCAGAGGTCTGAAAGTAAGGGAGAGGGGCAAATTAGGGATAGACATCAAGAGTACTTACTTGTGAGATAAAGGAGGAGATTTGCAAATCATTTTGAGGGAGTCAATGAATACTGAGATTCCAACAGAATCAAGCTAATAAAGAAGCAAGCTAATTTGGTTCTCATTTTCAGGAACGGTAACAGAGCCACATCTTATCAATTACAGGCCCATTAGTCTGATCTGAATAAATGGAAAACTAATGAGATCAATAAAATTGATGTGAAGATAACCTTGATTATTTTGCCTACTATTTAGGCGGGCTGGGGAGATGGCATTCCTGACTGATGGTGGGAAGCGATATAGTATTGTGTACCTCAATTTCAAAATACCTTCTCTAAAGTAGCAATAATAATAATCCTTGCATTTGATACTGTGCCTTATCACGTCTTCGAGACGTCACAAAGCGCTTCACAGACCGTACTGTAAAGTGAATTGACTAGATAGTTTATGGGTAAAACGTGACCGCCAATTTACACACAGCACTGTCCCATAAGCAGTCGTGGACTGAGTCACCAGTATTTTTTTTAAATTAAGTACCGTGAAAGACCGCTTCACAAATTAATGTTTGTATATATCAGGAGCATTACCTGGATTAAAAACTAGCTATAGAGTAGGCAGCAAAGGGTCGATGTAACAGAAGTTATCTCAGAGTGCTGGCGGTGAGGTTGATTTTGTGGAATGTGGTGAAACCGAATGCACCAAAGGGTTTTATCCAAAGTTCTTTTATGATCTTGTGAAGTTTTGCTTTCACTAAATATTTTAGTACATTTTTTGGGCCTCATTGAAACTGATTTACTTAAGTTAACTTTTATTTGATTAAGGTATGGATTGATAAGTCTTTTTGTGCTCTGTCAATATGTTTTCAGTAATCTTTTTGCTATTATATCTTAGAGGGAGGAATATTGACAGAAATGTTGCACATGATGATTTGCAGAATGTATTTTAGCAAGAGAGCAGACATTTAGTGAATGTGAGCCCACATTTACAAAAGTACATGGTAAATAGTTTTTTTTCAGTTTGAGATAATTAGTTGTTCTTTGTACTGTATAATGAACAATCTAGTCTTTCAATATTTTGACAGCCACATAATCGGACAGTTGCACAGTCTTTCAAAATATAAGTTTTTTAAATCCTTCAAAAATGATTAAATACCAGCTATTTATTTTTTGAAAAGAAATTCTGTTTGATGTGTATTCCTCAGGCAAATTGTTCCCATTTTATTCATCACTACTTTCCACTGTTGCAGTGCAAGTGATAAGCCTGCCTGATAAGTGCTGTTAGTGAGGGTGATTATCATGGCAAACATAGGTGAGGCAGTATGCAGCTATTTCCAGTTATTTATAGATGGGCGTTCAAGTGTTGCTATGGCATAGTCTGAGTTGCTAACAGTTTAGTCATCTGAAATATTTGCAAGTGAATCTTTATTGAAGAGTCTATGATTAATATACATAGCCATGCTGAAAAGCATGACCTTTTTTAATGGCAATTCACAGGATTTCTTGCCAGGTGTCTGTTTTAAAACAGTCATGAAGATTGTTACATGATGTGACCTTCTGTCACATCAGATGCACTTCTGCGGTTTTAAATGTGTTTCTTTTCTTTGCAAATATTGCAAGTTATTAAGAAAAACAATGGTCAGGATGGGAAAGAAATTGTAAGTGACATTATAAGGCTTGATTATATTGCATATCTTTATGCTTCAATATAAAAACACATTTGTACTGTCACCCATCACTGATTTGGAGTTAACTATGTAAGTGATGATATTTTAAAATGGCAAAATTTGTATATATGTATGTTATAATTACTAACCTTTACAACAGAATGCTGTAGGTGGGTAGAACAATAAGGTTTGCATTACCTTGGAAGACAATCATTCTTGGTCTGTATATTAATTTTAAGATGGAAAAATTTAATTTTTTTATAGCTTTCTTTCATCGCCTCAGTGTTTTCACCTGGAAAAAATGAAACTCCATTCCTTGCTCATTAGTATTTTGCAATTCACAGTACCCTGACCAGCGAGAAATGAGTTCTCACTAGGTTATTTTGCCAACAGCAAATCTGATGCACTGTTGATCTGATGATGTGTATTTCTTTCATCTGGAGAACTGTATTAACAGCAACACTTGATGAGGCCCCAAACAGAGAAAATAAAATGCGTTGCCTGCAGGGTTTCAATTGCTTTTTAGTTACAGCCATGTAATCTGAAATACTGTGAAACATGAAGCATTTTAATATTGTTTTTACTCATTTTATAAGCAGTAGCAATTTGAAATGGTAAAATTGTATCAATAATTTATTTATGATTTGTATTTATTCAGGAACAGTGAGCTACTTCACAATGATTTCTCTGTTAAATGAAGGAGAAGACACACTAAAATGGACATTCCGCTTAATAATCCTGTAGTTGCGCAAATGTAACTTGAATCTCAAGAAACCAAAATAAATCAAAAGGGCTGTGATATTAAAATGCAACTATAAAATACGGGCACAGGAAGTTGAGGATAAATTACTTGACATTTGGCAAGATGCTAAAGTAGAGAATTGTGCTACTCAAGTAATATTGTATGTGATAAAAATACTAACCTATGGTCATGGCATAAATTACAGGTACTGTTGGGTCCATCATTGGTATTTGTGCTTGATTGCGGATTGATGGAATTTCTGTTCTAATCCATAGACAGTGTATGTAATTCTTGCCATTGTATCCATTGTTTCTGTGCAGTGTTTTTTTCTGATAAATTACTTCATAAATAAGTATATTTACAGCTATAGCTCATCCAATGGCCCTGTGTGTAAAAGTCCATCCCAGTGCATTGAGTCTTCCAATAGAGAAAACTAGTTTTAAACCCCAAATCTCCAGATAGCATTCAGGAGTGAAACCCTACCTGATTTTTCCCTTCTCTAAATAAGAGGTGTTTAGGTCACCAGAGATCTGTTAATTCAGCATAGATGTAAATTGAAACCTGTGAATTTCTGGTCTTATGGCATTAAGTGGTGACTAACACAATGGCCTGTTGGGTTGCTCAGTCACCTTCATTTAATTTGCTCTCTGAAACCTCCATGCAGCGAGTGCAGTTGGTGGCACTCGCTGCATGGACAAGTAAGCTGTATGATATGATGATATTTATGATGTGTCCTTTAAAATATTTATCTGAAATATTGTTAGCTTTTTCCGATCGCTTAATTCATTAGGAACTAACACAGCATTTCTGCACCAAAACACCAGAGCAATGCTGAAAATTCTATTTGTTATTTGTTTGATACTTATTTTTTAAACCAGAAAGAATAAGTTGCAGTGTTTACAGTGTCCTTCTGATGTCTAATTTGTTGTTGTTTACTGCTTAAGAATTGCTTTATTTCTTAAATTAGGACTCAGTACTACTACCAATAATAGTAATCCTTGCAATTGATATAGCACCTTATCACATCTTTGAGACGTCTCAAAGCGCTTCACAGGATGTATTGTAACCTGAATTGACTGTATATTTTGTGGCAGTCGTTTAAAAACAGTGTGTCTATATGAACGCTGCCTTCTAAAGTAAAACCACAAGATAAGACAATTTAGTTGAAGTAAAAGAGCTGTAACATTATGATCACAGCAAACTGATTTGTTTTTTGCTGATGTTATTGTGCAGTTAGGCGACTGTGTGCACTCAATCAGCTGTGTGAAGTCACAGCAGCTGAAAATCAGTTTTTCTTTACCGCATCCCATGACTTTTTGAAAACTTTAAAAAAGGCACGGTATCTCAGGATTTCACTAAAATTTGCAAAATTGGAGATTTTCATTTTCTAGTTATTTCACCAAATTTCAATCGAATTGCGTCCTACAATAATACTAATTC